ACCGTGCGCACTTTCCCTTAACAGGGGGGAATTTCATCGGGTTGATCACTGGCTACATACATGAAATCATTCCACTTAGTCTGGATGTTACTGAATACATTATAAGGGAAATCTCTCAGGTGTTTGTGGTTACTCGCCGAAGCTTATCTATGTGCCACGTTCATAGTGCATTCACATAAGTTCGCTGATATTATGTAATTTGATTTCCATTGCCAGTATAAATGTTATCTCTTCTGGGTGCTTGTGAAATAACTCAAAAATTGAAAAGTTCGGGCAGATTGAAGAATCCAGTAATTCTTAATGCTGTAGTGGAATCAAGTTCCACCAATGTTGTAAAAAATCATGTGTGCCTTGAAGAAGTGATCATGTTCGAGGTGTCGAGTCCCAGGTTGTGGTTGAAGTAGTTTTCTGTTGTTCAGCCTATGCATATGAGCTGGACATCTCTGAGCTGCTTACGTAAGATCCTTCCAGGCTTAGAATTGACAGAATTATAGAACCNAATACCTTGAGCGCCTGTCTAAGCTACATCATTGTGAGGAATTAGATCATAGCGTTAAGATTGGATTCTTATCTCAATTCCAGCTAACTACAGCAAAAGGACTATCCAATCTTCGTGTGAGAGCGAGAAGGTTATTCGTGGAAACTAAAACTGTCCCCATGTGAATCCGACGTTTGTTTCTCGCCCGACATCATTGCGCACAGTCGAATTGAACACTACTTATAGGTTATAAATATATAACTAAAACTAACAAGAGTCACAATTTAGGCTCGAGTTTTCGCCAAACCCGCAGAGGAGAAACAAAACGAAGGCGATTTTGCAAAAATGGTCGAACATTCAATAAAATGATCGTACTTTGGAGGTTGTCATTTTCAACTGCATCAACTGAATGGTTAGGCAAAGTTTGGTTGAACACAAGACTGAAAGCATATGAAAGCAAATTGTGCCCACCAATGAGAGCTGAACAGAACACATAAATGGTGCTCAAACATGAACGATTTCACGGGTGCAGAACCTGTGATCATAGAACCTTCAATAAGAGATTTAAAAAACGAGCAACAAAATATTATCTGCACATGCACACTGAATGACATGGATGAAAAATTTCACACTGTTAATAACTAACATGAACTAATCTACTGTTTTGTTTGTTAGCAGAAAATATTAAAACTTCATATCGTTCAGCTCTCTCACTGATTGGTATTACGTGTGGCCAATAATTATCTGAATACTGGTTCTTTCTAAAGATCATCTAAAAGTATCGGTCAATAGTCACTACACATTTCAAATCTTAGTTGCTATTGAGCGAAACTTCCAGAGTTTTGACTCTCTTGTGAAGACTGTCATTACCCATTGGGGAAGAGCTGGAATAGTGTATCTACTTTCTGATCGATAATCTAACTGCTCATTGAGTTGGACTGAATATCGGTGAGTCCCGCTCAATCATATCGATAAATATTCAGATTATTTCGGTGTCCTCCCCTCACTCCCACATATTCAAGTTTATCGTTCCTGAACATGTTGCACAAGTGAAGTGACAGTAATCAATGCTATTGTTCATGTTCAATTGTTCGTTTGTTCATCGAAAGTGCATTGCTGTCATTTATAATGCTATCATTTTCATTCTCATTTACATGATTCACATCCATACTGTGACGCAAATCAGCCTATTCAGATTTTCCTTGGTAATCAGTGACTTCAACGAATTAATCATTTTCTCTTGATGATCAGATGTTGATTAAGATTCGTGATTTCGTTCGTTAGATTATGTTTATTTCACATATTTTGCAATATTCAGAAATGTACATAACAAGAGTTTCGAATGATAATTTGTTCATACGAACAAATATCACTGAATGGAGTTCAGCCTATTAAAATTGTGTGTTATGCGACGTTATCAAACACAAGGTTGGTTTAACGGATGAGCGAGTTTGTCGCGAAGTTGGCGTACACGTGATTTGACTATATCCCATGAGAAGTAGCATCCTTTCAGCGTTCGAGGTCTTTCCGCTGAAGCGGTGAACGCAGTTCGGGTATGCAACAACCTGGTATTGGCCCATAAAACTGTATCACCTGAAAAGAAGAACATTTTGAAGAGCTCTTATCAATAGTACGAGTAACATTCAAACCCATTGTTATAGGCATTGAATATTACACCTAGAGTTGGTGATTTGTCTGATCCACACTATTGATGAACTCTATTTCGTTCTGCCCATCCAACTGTTCTATTCTGTTCTATTCCGCGTCTTCATTTTGGAGCTATTCTATTCTGTGACGTTCTCAGATTACGAATTATACAGTTGTTCTGTTCTGTTTTGGTAGAATAGGAGAGTCATTTGGAACAGGGACGTCATTGACTAGAGCGTTTGCATTTTTCATATCGAATCGCTGTCATGATTCGGCTCGATAGTGAAAGGCAGCATTCAATCGTTTTGATGGATAGTGAGTCAATCAAAAGAGGTAATCACCATTCTGAAGTTGTAACTCGAGAATATTCTCGGGTCTGTAGCAGAGTTCAGTGAAAAGTTTCATAGCACGATAAACGGACTGAATCTCGTCAACGTGACAGTCATAGAGCCAACTTCGCATTGCATTCCCGAATTGAATCTTCTTCACGTGACCATTTGAATCAGTACTGAAAAATTCACTGAATCAACAATTTTGCTTTTTTTAGTGATTCTTTCTGCACAGTTACTGACTCATGATACACCACTATATTCACATTGGTGCTCTTTACTGATCTCTGTGTGATTTTTTTCGCTGCGTTTGCCGTTCTGTTTGATTTGCTATTCATTTTCAATAGGGTGAATATTTCATAATGTATGAGAGCGTAGATAAACCATTTAAATGCGATCGCACGAAAACTTTTTTCGTTTAGAGTGTGCTCACACAACTGATTACATAGAATAATGTAATAAATGAAGATACCGTTGGTAGTATGAAAATAAAGAATTACATGGAATAAAAAATTCTTGTGAGAGTAACTTTTGTATAGATAAATGTGATAAGGTATCTTAAATAGGTCTTGAAAGGTTCCTTAAATCTTTTCAGTGTGATGCTTTTTCAAAGTATTGCAGCATAATTTTTGCTAAAAATAGAGTTCTCTGTACCAAATAACTCTATGTTTCGCAGCCATATCGTAATGAAACGTCTCTAATTCGCCGTTTTCCATTGGGTGGCTGTCGTAACCTTGCTCGATATACTCGATGTTAACGCGGCTTAACACTTCGAATTCTTTTTGATGATGAGTGCGCATCTGAAATTTCGATTGAGATAAGCGAATTAAGGAAGATACTGGATTGTATTAGCATTAAAATGTTGTTCAAGTACCGATGCGCGGAACTGATGCGATAGATCATTGCGTGACGCGAGTGAATAGTAAATTGGTAATTTCCAATGAATTAATAGAACGTGATAATAAAATTCACTAAGGATGGATAAGCATTCCATTCATCTGACCTGTTCGGCTATATAAAATCCATCGACGAATAAATTGTGACCTCCTTGATCAGCTCTTTGCAACATATGCAGCATTTGTAACTGAATATGATGACACAGATTATAAACGGTGACTGTAGATAGATACCTTTGGTAATGTGATGGCTGTCTTTGTGATATTAACTCTCGATTAGATGAATGTGATATGATATCGTGGTAGGCCTTATAATCTTAAGTCATTGATTTTTTATCGTATAACATTCTCATCTATAGCCTCTGCTCACATGTCACTTTTTCATCACGTGGCAGTCCCTAACTTCGCCCACTTCAATAGTTTGAATTATTCAGCTAATGTTTCACAATAGTGAAAATCAAGCAGAGTTTATGAACAGGTGAATATGGATCAGG